TTTGGGGGGGGGTTAGGGGAGAGAAGCAGGCCACTGAGGAGAACCAAAGGGACAAGCACCACCCTGGGGCTGGGCCAGAGTGGGGTGGGATGTGGGACCAAAAAGTCATTTTGAAACAAAAAAAGGTTTCATGTTTATTTTTTTCTGGATTTTTTTTGGGGGGGAACCAAATTTGGTGACACCACCCCAAATTGGCAAACCTCTTGGGTGTCCCTAAATCTGCATTTTTCAGCCCCCTGCCCCCAAAAAAGTTTGGGTTAAAAAATGGCCCTCAGTGCTACCTCTTGGCCGTGGTCTGTTTCTCCCCTGGCCCCTCAGGCTGCTGGGGGCCTTGGTTGCTGGTGCACAGGGGCTGCGGCTGGCTCTTGTGTCTGCCATGTGACCTGTTGGGTGACCTTTTTAGGGCAAGGCCCCCTCCCTGGGCTGCTGTTTCCCTTCCTCCCCCCTTGTTGCTTTAATAATACCCAGCTATTGTCTTTGCAAAGCAGGGTCCTATCATGAGCCTCATTGTACAGATGGGGAAACTGAGGCCAGGGGAAGGGAAACAATTTGCTTGAGGTCACCCAGCAGGCCAGTGGCAGAGCTAGAGAAGGGCCCCAGGGTCCCAGCCACAGGGACTAACTGCCTTTCTATTAGTGGGTGAGCTCGCTGGGGCAGGTGCATGACCAGCACAAAACATGCTCCTTTCCCCCACAAGGGGCAGATGAGAGGCACCTGGCCTACCCTATGTTGTGGGGGGCCAGGTATGGATTTTTGTTGGGGGGAGGGGGAGCTTCCCTGTGGCCGGAAAGCTGCAAAGCTCCATGCGTCAGCCCGCTGGGCCTGCCTGCGGGGAGAAGCCACGGCTGCTTGCCCACAGGCTGCCACCGCCCTAGCCACGAACCTGACAGGCGGGGGAACTCGGCCCTGCAGCACCCTGCCTGAAAACCCCCCTGGAGCCTGGGCATCAGGTGAGCCCAACCCACAGCCATGCTGACCAGGAAGCAAGTATGGGTGGGGCAGGTTAGTCCAGTGCTGGTGAATGTGCTACATGGGATTGGGGGCATTTAACTGTTAGCCCCCACCCCCACCCCACCGCCTGCCCCCTTGCTGGGACCCTAGGCCAGCCAGGGGCTACCCAGGGAAACTAGGAGCTTTGACTGATGGGGTGTGGGGCTGTCCCTAGTGGCCTTGAGGGGTTTCCCGCCAATGCCCACTGCGTTTCCCTTTGTAATGCTATTATGTAGGACCTACAGAAACCCCGGGAGGTGCCAGTTGAAACATGCCCCATCAAGCAAGGTTAAAAAACAGGCAGGAAGCTCAGGGCTGGGGGGCAGAAGCTACAACAAACCCCACCCCCACTCCCTGGATAGCCCCCAGGGCCCAAGCCACCTCCCCTTCAGGGCAGTGGAAAGACTCCCGTGGGCTGGGGAGGCACAGGGCCTTGGGCTCTGCAGCCGGGTTTCTGACGGGCCAACCGGCCCATTGCCCGAGGATCTCTGCCAGCGTGACAGCAGGTAGCCCAATAGGGTGACCAGATGTCCTACTTTTGGGGTCTTTTTCTTATATAGGCTCCTATTACCCCCCACCCCCGATTGTTCACATTTGCTGTCTGGTCACCCTATAGCCCAATGAGCTGCTCGGAACCCAACCCGTACGGCCCGGGGCCAGGTCCTAAAGGCCCAGCAGGGCTGATGCTGATCATCCACATGGAGCTTTGGGGTTGGGGGGCAGCCCACACCGATCCCATGCCGGGCTCATTGCTCTCCACACCTGCACTGCGGGGGGGCACCCAAGGGGCCCAAACACTCAGCAGCGAGGACAAACAGTTCCAGAAGGAAAGGGGTGCAGGGGGGGGGACGGGACTTTCACCTGAGAAACAGCCCAACAGGAGGGACCCAGCTACATAAACAGGGGAAGGGGGGCTGCCCCCCCCAACACAGGCTCAGAGGAGTCAGCAGCCCCACAGAGCCCACCCTTTAAGTCCCACCCCCAGGCTCCACCCCTCCCTGTTCCAACCAGGACACAAGTGCAAATGTAAACATTCGTTTAAAATAAATTAACACCAACAAAAAGTGCAGTGCATGTGGGTACCAGCAGGAGGCAGCGTGGCCACCCCCATCCTCCCTTGGCCCGAAAGCCGTCAGCGCCGCCGCGGCCTGGGGCGGGCCCAGAATTGCTTGGTGCTGAGCTGGGGAAGGGGGGCGGCTGCTGCAGAGCAGGAGGTTTGGATCTAGGGTCTGCCTGGGAGCAGGAGCCTGGGGTGGCTGGGATGGCAGTTCTGCCCCTGGGGGCAGGTTGGCTTGAGGTTCTGCCCCAGCCTGGTGCGTTGCTGCGCTGGGCAGATTTTGGGGGTAGTTGGTTGCTCCACTGGGCTTTGACTGGTCTCGAAGGAGCTTCCACATGATCTCTGCGACGTGGCAACCTGCACACCTCTGCCCACAGGGTACCACACTGCCTGCCAGCCCTCTCCGGCGCCTGCCGAGCTCACGGCCGGACCCAGCCTGCCAACGGGTCTGCTCGGAATAAGCGCCCGGACAGCGCCACATCTCGCCTCTCTTAGGTTCAGCTTTGCAGATGGTGGTGGGAGGGGGGATTATGCTCCCCCGCATCCCAGCCGCTGCCCCAGTGCATCCTGGTCCTGTTTCCAGACACTGCCCATCATGGGCCGGTCCTGCTCTGAGCTGGCATGAGTGCCACGGGGCCCTTCTGGCCAGGAGTCCGACGCCATGGGGCATTTCTTGGTCTTCAGCTGTACAAGGCTAACCCCCAAGCACCCGAGAGACTCCCCCCCTCCCCCTCAGTCTGTCCATCAGGACCGAGGTGAATTCAGTGCATGGGCCGCTCCGGCTGGCTCCGGCGCTGCCTCTGGGTAGATTATACATTATATAGCTTTATATAGAGATTTATAGATTATTTATATAAATATCTGGGGGTCTGTACAACCTCGCGGGGGAGGCCGGGCCATCACGAGCTGGGGGCGGCTGGCAGTCTGTGCATGTCTCCGCTGCCCGAGTGGTCCAGTTCGGCGCTGTCACAGTCCGAGTCCTCGTACGCGGAGGGAGTCTGGTCCGGAGCCGGGGGAGAGGCAAGATCAGAGCACAGATGGGGAGAGGGGGGAGCTGGCACCCCCCCCCCTCCCAATGCCAAACCAAACCGCTGCTCTACCTCCACCCAATGTGATCTCCCTAGGCAGACGGGCCCCACTGCGGGGCAAGATGCTCTGCAAGTCCTGATGAACCCAGGGCTCACTCTTATGGGCATCACCAACCAGAGGTTCTTGGAGCCCCTGCACCACCTGGAGCTCCCAGGAATCCGTCCCCTGGAACCTCTGGCACTCCCCACATCCCCCAGCAGGGGGAGCATTCGGGACTCCCCTTCCCTGAACGCATTGTACCCCCCCACAGTCCCCAACAGGGGGAGCTCTTGTGACCCTCCCGCTTCAACCCCCTGTACCCCCCAGCCCCAGCAGGGGGGCACAGGGACCCCCACCCTCTCTCGAGCCCTTGCACCCCGCAGCCCCCAGCAGGGGGGGCACTCACCTCAGCGGGGTTCTGCTCAGCACTGAGCTGGCTCTTGACGTGCTGGACAGCGGCCTCCTTCTCGGACAGGCCGTCGGAGTGGGCCAGGGCATCGAGCGGGATCTCGGAGCTCTGCGAGAGCATGTCGTCGGAGCGCTCGCCTGTGTTGGTGCTGGCCACGTCGGGCGTGCCGCTGGGTGACGCGTCGCTCGTGTTCCCCTCCTCGCCGTCCCCGTCCGAGAAGTTCTCTGAGCTGAAGGTGGAGAGCGACTGGCGCTTGCTCAGCCCCTGGGGCCACCTGTCAGCAGAGCAGCCCCCCATCACCCACCAGTGGGGGGCGTTGTCCCTGCTGGGGACTGAGGCCCAGAGACTCTTCAGTGAGCTCGATGCCGTACAATAGGTCGGTGACAGAGCCAGGGATAGAACCCAGGCGTTCGGGGCGTCCTCCCTCTGTTCTAGCCATTAGACCCTACATTCCCCACCCGGAACTGAGAAAAGAACCCAGGCATCCTGGCTCCCAGCCCCGCCCTGCTCTAACGACTAGTGCTTAAGACCATGGCTAATGGTCCAAGGAGCAGTTTCCGGCACTATTACAGCGCCCCATAGAGGGTGACAAACACCCACATGCCACAGCGACCCCTGCCCTGCACCAGAGCCCACCGGGCACGGCAGGCCAATGGCAGAGGAGAAAGGCCACATGGCCGAGCTCTGGTGCTGAAGGTTCAGGAGCCCAGGCCCATACCCACCTCTGCCTCAGTGGCAGCTCCACCTCGCTGTCCACTTCTCCCTCCTCCTCCTCGGACGAGACCCCTCGCTTCTGGAGAGCAGAAGGCAGAGAAGAGCCATGTTAGCTGGACCCGCCCCCTCCTGGGCTGCTGTGAACCCCATGGGCGCAGGAGGGCACAGGCTGCCCTGCAGAGCCGGGACACCCGCTTGCTGTCTCCAGCCAGGACAGCCACGTGACAGCCAGCAACCTACTCACTCTGCCCAGCCCTTGGATGGTAATGGAACCGACTCGCACAACCAGATCTCAGAGCTGGGCTAGCAGGGGGGACTGTGATCAGGTTTCAGGGGCACCAGCAGAACGGTGGGGCTAGCCCAGGGCTGGCCTAGCAGGAGGCTGCGTGTCAGGATTGTGGAGCACGGGCAGAGCTGCGGGGACAGCCCAGGACTGGAGTAGCCCAGGGATTGGGAGGACACAGGGACTGGGGAGGGGCACAGGGATTGTGGATCCACAGGGAGGGGAGCTGACGGATTGGAGCGGGGCACAGGGATGGGGATGCTGAGGGATGTGGGGGAAGAAGCCAAACCAGGTAGCCCAGGCCAGCGAATTCCCCCCGTCAGCCCCTTCAGGAGCCCAGTAACTTGGCTCTGACCCATTTTCCCCACGGGCAGTCCGGCTGGGCCTGCAGCCAGTGGCTGTAAACTCCAGCTGTTGGTTCCCGTCCTGCCCAGTCTCCACTCGACTGAGGAGCCCCTCAGTGCCTGGTCCCCCCTGCGATGGGCCCAGGAGCCCTGGTTGAGGCATGTCTCCAGCCACATTCTGCTGAGCCCCTCGCTGCCAGCATCTTCTCCACCTTGCGGCCAGTTTTGTGGCTCCTCCAATCTCCCCCATACAACGCACACCCCAGAGCTGGGCGCAGTGTTCCAGTCCCACCTACGCTGCATGCACCCCGTACAGGCAATCGGCTTCACAACCAACAGTCCGCTACTGCCCCCTACAGTCAACCCATTTAAATCAACACAGGCGCCACGCGCCCCCCAGGCCCAGCCCCCGCTGAGCCGCGCTCACCTGGCTCCGGGTCACGGCTGCTCGGTACAGCAGCGCTGCAGGTGTCAGATGCTGCTGTGGCATCCCACAGGCCTTGGCCGCCTTGCCCGCCACGCCTGCCTCCTTGTCGGGCTCCTCGCCTGGCTGCAGCCTCTGGGCTAGGCCCAACAGCCGGTGGCTCTTGTCCGCTGGCCCCACGGCCCCCTGCTTGGAGGAGGGCGAGTCGGGGCTGCTGGAGAAGGGCACAGAGGCCGTGTCCTCACTGGGGGTCTCGCTGCGGGGCTGCTCGGCCGGGGGCGACTCGGGCCCGGCAGGGGCCCCCTCTTTCTTGGCCCCGGCCTCCAGGGTGGTGTTGATGAGGTCAGGGCTGGACGAGGACATCCGGCGCAGCAGGTCGTGCTGCAGCCCCCGCAGGGCGGCACAGGTCTCCAGCTGGTGGCCCACATCCGCCGGCTCTGGGACCCGGGGCCCTGCCAGCTCCCCGCAGCTGCCCTTGGCGCTGGCTTTGCGGTAGCGCGCCTTGGCCCGCCGGCTCCGGCCCGGGGAGGTGGGGCCCTTCTGGCACGCGGGTATCGACACCTGGGCAATGGCCGAGTCCAGTTTGGGCAGGATCACCTCCGTCTTCAGGATGTCCGGCCTGGGGGACAGCACGGGTCAGGGGGGCCAGTCCCTGTGCCCCAATCCCTCCCCGAGCCCTGCACCCTTCCCCTCCCCGCTTCCTGTGCCCCTCTTTGATCCCTGTCCCCAATCCCTGCATCTCCTCACTCTGCCCAAGCCAAGTGCCCCTCCCTCATCCAATCCCTCAGCCCCCCTCCATCTTCCCCCAACTCAGCTCCCCACCTCAGCTCCTTTCCCGCTGCAGCTTCCCTCCCCCATGTTCCTGTGCCTCACTTCCCATCCCCACCCCCTCCCCCAACCTCCAGTGCTTCGGCTCCCCT